ACTCGGGTTTGGGGCACAGGAAGGGGAGCATGTTCCTCGCCCGGCACACTGTTTGAAAGCAGAGTGCATTAACCAGACCCGGGCAGGCACTGCTTCCCAGGAAAACAGCCCTCGCTAAGTCTGCTCCCTGGCATGTGAAGCTCCCAGAAAACCAGGCTCTCCAGCTGCTGCTCAGCCAGACCCCGGGCTCTGCAGGTGCCTGGAAGACATGCCCCTTTAGCCCCCTAGACCAGACTGGACAAGTAGGTCCTCCCTCAACCAGCCTTGCATTCTTGGGGGCTGTGGGAAGGTGTCCTTACATGGTCATTTCTGGGAATGGGGTCCTGGACTCCTCCTCCTTGGCCCCACTATGGGGGTGAGCTCCCCGACACAATGAGCATGTGAATAACAGGTCCTGCGCACAGTGGTCACCTGGCAGGGGTTCAACCTGCCGTGAGGGGGCCTGGACTATGGCCCCGCTGTGACACCTGTCTGCTGTGTCCTATCAGGTTGTCTGGTAAGAAGTGGGTGTGTGGTGTGGTGTGCGGCAGCGTTACCTGCCGTATCAGCCATTCACACAGGTGCACACCAGATTCATTGCTGGACACCTAAGTGGGGTTTTCCCGGCGTCGTTTTCTGGCCCATCTTCGGGGTTATTTGGTCTTCCTTTCGCTCCCTGCTGTGAGCGAGCCCACGGTCCCACCATGAGCAAGGCAGCTTCGCCCGTGAGGCAGGTGTGACTGATGCACATGCAGGGAGGTGGTGGCACGTGGACTCTCTATGGGGCACTGGGGCTTGCCTGTGCCTGTGCCCCCCTGGGCTCAGCCTGAGGGGGAGAGGCTGCTGCAGGTCCTCCATGCTACCCCACCCCCACAGCCTGTCCTCACGGCAGTCAGTGGGCTAGGTCACGTGGCTTCTCTGATCCAAGTCCTCCAGATCCACCCCCTCAGCCCTCCTCCCCCACTGACTTTGCCTCTGCTATGCCACTCTATCCTTCCAGGCATTTCTCAAAGATGTCCCCACAGGCCCCTCTGCCCACAAGGCCACACACCCAGCTGTGCAGTGCTCCCTGGCCCTGCACTCTGCCCCGTCTCAGGGAAGTCTGCCCGGGCCCTCTCCAGGCCCCACCCCTGGCACATACACCCTTAATCATCTCAATTGCACCCCGCCGCCCCTCACATGCATCAGAGCGGAGCCTGGCCAGTGGCTCACTAACTAGCTCATCAGTCTGTGTGTGTGTGTGTGTGTGTGTGTGTGTGTGTCCCACGAGAGGGCGTGCAGGTCACCAGGCCACAGCAGTACAGGTGCCTGTGGGAGCTGAACCCTAATAGGGAAGGGAAGGACACTGCTGGGGCCTGTCTGTCCTCAAGACCCCCTGGGGACTGGCTCCCTCAGGCCAGTCTGTGCCGGGCAAACTTCTCCACCTGTCCCATCAGAGCAGTGGCACAGCCCCGCTCAAGGGGCTACCTGCCAAACCTAGCGGGCCTGCTCCAGAGCCAGCCCTAAATCTGCTCCCCCAGGTAAGGTGTCTGGGCAAATCAATGCCAGGAGCGA